CAAAGAAAAAAGAAGAAGAAAAAAGAACCTCATCTTTTTATGAAGCTGTTGTAAGTAAAATAAGTGACGTCATAAAAGTTCAAACGACAAATACATATGCAAAAAAAATTAGAAAATTATGAAAACAATCAATTAAATACATTTTTCATATATCATCTACATATTTAAGAATGATACAAGTTGAAATTAATATTTAAGCAAATTTATGGATCTTGAATTACAAAAATTAGACAATAATTTAAGAAAAATATTTTAGTGGTACAGTTGAGTATTGAGAGAGAAGTATATACATTCCCTACATTTATTACAATTAATACTTTCATACATGTACAAAGTAATTTGTTAAAAAAAATAGTTCATCTTTGATAAACCGTCGATAGAAGTTTTCCAAACCAAAAAATGAACGCTACTCAACCACTTTCGAAGGGGCGGGCCAATCAGTCACAACCCATACCTTGTTCATATCCATCTTGATTTTTCCTTGGCTATAATTGTGGCCAATGAATGAGATTTCTTCCCGACAGAAATCACACGTCCCCTTCTTAGCATACAACTTACATTCCCTCAACTTCAAGAATACAGTCGCATATGCCCAACATACTCACCCAACGATTCGTTTTACACCACGATATCATAACCACCACAAAACGATCAAGAACTCGTACAACACATTATTCATAAGGTTGCAAAAATTTGCAGAGGCATTGGTCAAGCTGAAAGGCATAACCAAGGACTCGTACGATTCATATCTCATCACACAAGTTGTCTTAGCCTCATCACCTGGTGCCACACGAACTTGCCAATATCCAGCCCAAAGATCAATTTTTATGTAATACCGTACCCTTGCTAACTTGTCGAAAAGATCCAACACACTAGGAATATGGTACTTATTTTTAAAAGTAACCTTATTCAATGACCGATAGTCTACACACATCCTTATTGAACCGTTATGCTTCTTCTGGAACAGAATCGGCGACCCATAAGGAGTTTTGGAAGGCTGCACTAGACACGCACTCAACAAAATGTCCTGTTGCCTTCTAAGTTCAGCCAACTCAGAAAGACCCATCTTGTACGGTACTTGTGGTGGCGGTTTGGCCCCCGGTTCGAACTCGATCTTATGGTCAATAGCTTGCCGATGCGGCAACTCTCTCAGTAATTCAGGAGGCATCACATCCTCGAATTCAACAAACAATATCCATATTAACGATAAGACAAACTAGAATTTAAAATAATTGTTGTTGGTAGGTTTAATTTTTATAAACTATAAAATTTCATCAAGTTTTTCTTATGAATTGCAACATAAAATATTGTGAAAAATTTGTCTAAAGGAGTGTAGAAATAAAACTCTACGTTTACGTTTACGTTTACATGGATTTTTTTTTGGATTAATTTATATTTCTGTTTTAATTGGTGGATTTGGTATCTTATAGGTATAAATCGAAAATTAGGTGTCCAAGAAGCAAAAATGATCAAAGAGTAAGAAAAGAGTTGCAATTAGGAAAATAGGATCAAATTAGACGAGAGAATCCCTGGACATCTTTGGTAGTGTCCACGAAGTCGAGCATAACTTTCTCATTCGGCCTCCAAATCAAATGGTTCTGGCGGCATTAGAAAGCTATTTCAGCTGGCTACAACTCTTGTATAACGGCAAATTTCCAAATTCGGACTCGAACATGGTCAAAATTGGATTCCAAAAGCGATCATGAAAATACGTAGCCAAAAGCGATCATGAGAATGCGCTGTTTTCTTCTCTAACAATGTCGATGGTGTTTGATTAACCAAATACCCAGCTGTAAGCACACATTCACCCCAAAAGTTAATTGGCAAATATGCTTGAAAAAGCAACGCTCTCGCTACATTTGGAATGTGGTGATGTTTTCTTTCTGCACGACCATTTTGTCGAGGTGTCCCAACACAAGGGGTTTGGTGCAAAATCCCATATTCGGCAAAATAACCTCTTAAACAAGTAAACTCTGTATCATTATCACTTCATACAATTTTGACGTCTTAATTGAACTGTCGTCTGATCATCAAAATGAAATCTTTAAGAACACAAGCAACATCATTTTTTCTATTCAACAAATATATCCATATTGCACGAGAATGATCATCAAAAAATTTCAAGGAATATTTGGCTCCGCAAGAAGTAGCAAATCTATAGGGTCCCCACAAATCACGATGAATTAAATCAAAACATTCTTTAACTTTATTTTTCCTGGGAAAAAAAAATCTCTTGTTTGTTAACTCTAAATCAAATATCACAAGATTTATTCTCTGTGTTATAATTTCTATTACTATCACCAACTCCAGAAATCAAATTTAATATCCACCGAGACGGAAAATACCATAAATCACTTTGTTTTCAATAATCGACCCTGAAATAAAATAAATTATCAATAGAGGCTAATCAATAAAGAAAGAAAAAAATATCAATCTAAAAGTATTTTTAATTTGTTATAACATTAAATAATTTAAAATAAAATAAAATAAATATATATTTATTAAATATTTCGGTATATCATACGGTACACTGGGTGATGGGGGACGATTTGGCAATTTATAAGGCTAGTATAAGTATTTGGGCTTTGAGTCAATAAGTGGACCATGAACCATTTCAATTATGTTTAATGGGCTCAAATTTATTAATCTAGATCAAATCTTGAGGATTCTATTGCGATTAGGAGTATTACAAGTATTATCTGACTATAAGTGAAAATTAGCAAGACCGCCCTCATCTAGGAAATATAGTTAAGGAAAATTCTGCACGCAAAAGTAATTAGAGAAAACCCCTTCTCCTTTAAATTAACCCTCCTAACAAATATTAATTGTTTAATGTATCCTTGAAGAACCCTAATCTCATTTGTCATTTCGCTCTTCTACGTTTCACACCTCTCCTCTCTCTTCTTCTCTGATATTGTTTTCTCTTTTCAATTTGCCACCCAAATCTCTAGTTTTTTTCTCTCTAAACCCGGAGGCGAAGAACAGGAGTTGTCGGCGCCGCTAGAACAACGCTCCTTCTCCTTCTCCTTCTCTTGGTGATGGATTTTTTCGTTGCATGTTGCCGTAACGAGTGCAAAGAAAATGATTTTCTTCGTTGATTTGTTGCCGATATCAGATTTTGATGGGTGGTGGTTCTGCTTTGGTTGGTGGCGTGCAGGTAGTCGATTAAGTTAACCGACTATACTCTCGTAGTTGATTGAAGTGTTAATCGACTGTTCTGGTAGTCGACTAAGGTTACTCGATTTCATTTTTGAATTTTTGTGTATTGATTCCGGTTTGTATAAATCAATTACAATTTATATATATTAATTATTTTGTAAAAAAATGTTGATTTTTTTTTATGTAATTGTGTTTTTTTTTTAGTAGTCAGCTCGTAATCGACTATGCTTCAACATAGTCGATTAATATGCTCCATAGTCGATTAGTATACCTGATAGAGAAAAAAAAGTTAAAAACGAAAAATTAAGATCATGGTGAAGTTGGGATAATAATTGAATATACCGTCTCTTGGTGCCAGGCTTATTTGGATACGTATAAACAGGCCCAGTTTTCTCAAAGGGAGGGCAGCAAAAGGACTTTCGGCTGACATGGAAGGCTCCGATGGAAGGATCAATTAAGATTAATTTCGATGCAGCTATTCTCAATCGGTTGAATCACTACACCGTTTCTATGGTAGCTCGATCTTGGAGAGGCATCTGTATTCGATGGACGGTTCGTCAATTCAAGGGCTGCCTAAAAGTTGTGGAATGTGAAGCTCATGCGGCATTGAAAGTGATTACTCTTGCTAATTAACATGGTTGGACGTCGATCATCTTGGAGGCATTTCTCTTTCTTCGGTTTTGGCAGATTTTGCCTAGTAAATTTCTTTCCTTAAAACAGCTAGCCGCATAGTAGGTTAGTGCTGATAAGGTGGCAGGGCATAATTGGAAAATAGCTGGCTAAAAATTAAAAGTGAGCTTTTCTCAAATGGGGTAAAATAGTTTAGTCATTTCCCTATTAAAAGAAGTATTTATGGGGTTATATCAAATAACCCATATTTATAAATACAGATTATTCTGCACAAAAAGGTAGGATCCATTGTACATTGTACACCAGAACGCACAACACGTGAAAACATGCGTCGCCGAATTGTCTCCATGAGGCTCAAACCCCGAGGATTTCAGGTGAACGGAGCAGTTTTTCGATAATCGAGGATCGAGGAAGGTGTTCGAGAATCATCGAATACAACAAATAATACGAGTACACGTTTTATTTCGATAACTATCTCGAAAAACCCTAATTCCAACCAAAAGCCCTTCTTTGAAAAGATCTTCTCCAGCGAACTAAAAAGATCTTTATAAAAAGAAACTTGGCAGCGCACGAAACGACGTGATCACTTGGCATCAATGCTATATACCGTACTGAATACCGAAATTCAAAAAAAAATACCGAATACCGAACCAAATTTTCATTTCGGTATTACACGGACCGAATTTTCGATTCGATTCAATTCGATTCGGTCGATTTGCCGGCCGAATGAACACCCCTACACCTGGGGGAATTTTTTTTTTTTTTTTTATATATATTGTAAGTATATATCTCTGACATAAAATATTAAATAAATTTAGCAAATGAAAAAATCGGAGTAAAATTCAAAGGTAAGAGATAGAATGGGTGAGACAGTTTGTGGTAGTGGCAACTCATTCACTTTCGGCGCTGCCTCCGCAAATTAAGGTTAATTTGCCGATACCAATTTTATTGCTTTTGTGGACATATATAATTTTTATTCAATCAAAATTCGACCCGCCTTCCTATGCACCTCCATTTTCTTTTATCCCAAAGATTATTTATTTATTACATTGTTAAAATTTAGTTTCACTTCGTTTGAACTTTTTTTTTTCAAATTTTATTATTACTGTATATAATAAGATATTGCATTCACTAATGTTACAATTGTGCATTTGGATTTTGGTGTATATATATTAATTGAACATGATAAAGCGATCATTAATAAATCACAATTAAATAAAATACTTAACAATACCATTAATATAATGTGTAAGTAGGTCAAAAAGTGTTCCACAAAACAGAAGAAAAAAAATGAACTCCAAACCAAGCCAAAACCAAATTACAACCCCACATCAATTAATTTATCTAGGGTTTAATAACTAATAATGAAATGAAAGAAAGAAATTTTAGTTGTATGGATTATTACCTTGCTTATATTTCCTAAAAAGCTCGTCGGTCTTGGCGTTCCGAAAAGCACAGCATCCGATGACGTAAACCGAAATCAAAGCGACAAGAGTTACGATCAAAATAATATCAGCCGTTCTCCATTCTCTCTTGAGGTTGGCTAGTAAACCAGCCTTGCATGAATTGCACGAGTAGCAGAGATTCGTCTGTTCGTTGCTCCACTGTAAGCAGTCGGTATCTGCCGCTGCGTTTATCGGGCTTATCCAATATGTTGGGCTCACAAATGTGTGCCCGCATTCCGTTGGTGGTTTACAGCATCCTGACTGTACATATAGATCATGATCAAAACATTTTCTCAATTATATATATATATATATATATATATATATATATATATATATATATATATATAGGAAGATATTTATTTATTGAATGTTTTCTTTAGTACTTGTATAAAATAAAAAGAGTAATGAATTTAATACTTGTTTATACAGCATGCATTAATCAGGAAAAGCTGAAAATTGTAAAGTAAGCACATGTTTTTGAGAATCTCTGTAGTTATGCAGATGCTTTGTGTAAATCTATTATATGCTATAATAAATAAATTAAAGATTAATAATAATAAATGAATAAAAATAAAAATAAATAAAAATATTTGTTTTGCTAATTGCATGGCATGACCACTACTCAAAGAATCTTGTCAAAAAACAAATCTTGAGAAAGAGGACTCCTTAATTTTGTAAGATGTTGGATTTGATAATTAATGAACATACTAATATGGATGTATATACTATTCTTTTATTCATTATTATATAAAAATAAAAAATAAAAAATAAATAAAAATAAATTGTGAATGTATGGTGATAATGGGGTGATACTCTTGTATTTCATCCGATGCAGCACGAAATAAACCCAGAATGTGACCGGGCGAATAGTAACTAAATTAATTATATGATTACTCTATTATTACATTGATGACAATTTATAGAACATTACCTTTTATTTAATATGTTTTTTTTTTCTTTTCAATGAAGAAACTCGCAGTCAACCATACAGGTGCACTGAGTAAACCTATACTATTGTATAATAGCTTGCAAAATATTTCTCCTCTTGGTTTAATTAACTTAGGAAAACCATTTTCACCTAGAAACAAATCTACTAAAATGTAACTAGAGACCAAAAATCATATGAAAGATGAAGACCATATAATATCAAATCAAGCAAACCCCTATAATTAATTAATTAAAAATAATTAATTACCTGCAAGGGAGTGATATGAGCGTCGAAAAAATCCTGAGCCATGCGATAGCTCTGGTTCAACTCGGCGCACATACTCGACGAGCTCAGACAAGCCCGGATTCTATCCCACTTGTAAGAACTCTGTACCCTTCTTCGTAGCCAACCCGAGTAGCTATCAAGATCGTACTCCAAATAAGCTCTACTCGGGGCAGGATGACCCGACCCGTTAACGGTCACCATGTATATGAACCCAACTAAGCATGCAAGAAGTATTATTAGAACAAGCATGGCAATTAGGTAGAATATTAGCAGCCACGAGATTCTCCAAAACCCTCCGATAAATCCGGCAATAGCCACAACGAGGATAAGTACTCCGATAACGATGACCGGATATTGTAGTATTTTCACGCATGAGTTGTCTGCTTCTGTCGCTAACCAGACTCCGGCCCCGATTATCGGGATGGATAGTAGCATGGCGACGAAGTTTATGGCTCCGATTACATTGTTGCTCAAGGCCATGGATTTTTCTTTTCTTTTTATTTTTTGGTATTTATTTTTTTGTTCTGGGAGAGAAAAAGTGGTTTCTTGGGATGTTTTGATGAGGAGTGAAATATGGAGGAGAAAATGGAAGATGAATTTCAACTTTTGAGACAAGGGTCCACTACTTTTTGTTAATTGCTTCTTAAAGGGAAAATTGTGATTTGGTCCTTGATCTATGTTGGTTTGCTTAGAGATTTAGTCCTCTAAGTTATCCTATTTTGATTTTACACACAATGAGTTTACAAATTTAGCATTTTTGGTCCTATTTCTTGTTGAATTTTCGTAGGAATCGGAGCTGTCATCCGTGGGTTGCGTGCGTGCCGTCTTCGAACCGGAATTTATTTATAC